GAGGTAGGGAGGAGCCAGGAGATACAGGAGTTGTGCAGAAAACCCGCACGCAGTGGGAGCATCACAAGATTACTGCTAATTAGAGAAAACCAGACATCTCAAGTTAATGAATTTAGCACTTTTCTATGTATGGGAAGATGCAGGAGTCTGGGCTCATTGAAATCATCCCTTTCATGTGCACTTTAACTATCTAGGGCCCGTGTCCTGTTTTCTCAGGTTGGGGGGAGGCTGCTGTGGCTGAGGGCTTGATGGCAGCAACGTCCTTTGTTTACAGGGGTGGCCGGCGACATTCTTCACCCACAGTATGCTCTATGTTACTTTGTAATATCAAAGGAGTGGGGTGCTGTCTGCCCTACTCTTAATTTAGTTGAAATCATTCTTGGGCCAAATGCTAACCAAATCCCACCAAAATCACCATTTCCATCTTCCTCAGATGTTTCAGTCATCGCCATTTTCATGGCCCGGTGTTAGCACTGCTGGCATCAGAGACACGGACACAGGTGCACCACAGGTGTGATTTTGACGTGTCCTGAGTTCAGCAGACTTTTGACCTCACTTCTCCACCAGAATCCAGCCAAGATGTCTAAGTGTTTAAATCTCTAAAGTACCAGATTTGTTTTCATAAAGGGGGTAAAGGTCATGGCTTTTTTTTCCCAGCCCCCAGGAGGAAATCAGATGATCCAGTTCCAGATTTTTTTGAGAAAATCAGTTGCTGTATAAGCAATAGAATTACAGTGTTGTCTGACACCAAATCAGCAGTTTCAGAAGCAAATGGTAACTTCATACACTAAACTACAGTGCATCATAAGTTTATGTTTAATAATAAATAATGAAGTATTATTAAATGTTAAGTATATTGCTAAATATTTAATAAATAAATGTTCTTTTGAATGATGGTAATACTGTATTTGAACAGTGGAACTGGGCTCTCCTGTGATACCTTTATCATTTTTTCAAGATTTAGGATAGGTGAAGGGTTTAACTGTGGTTTAAAAAATTATTCCCAATATTATGGGTTTTAGTGTACTGTTTACAAGTAGAGAAAATTAGTTACCTTGACACTTTTTTCTTTAGAGTGATTATCAAAAACAGATTTTTTAGTGTTTAAGAGGCTTTAGAGTTCACTTCAAATCTTTTCCCCTCCTGCATTTATCATAATTTTTAACTCTTGTCTGCTGCCAGATTTTAACTTTAAAAAAATTGTATTGGAAAGACAACGTAAGAATATATTATGCAGTTGGATGCTAATGAATAAAAATAATTGGCCAATGCCAGGCTGTCATGTCTCCTTTTAATCAGGAAAGCAAAAAAGAAAACAACTTGTTTTCCCCACAGCTCAGTCTCTGTTACTTCCGAGATCACTTGAAATCCAGTTGTGGTCTCGGAGTGACTGGTGTTGGGAGGGTTAGACTGGGATTGGCTGGGATCACCTGAATTCCTCCTCATCTGCTGTAAATGGGGATTGGAGCCACCCCACAAGTCACATAAATTCATGAAGGATAAGATGTGGTGCTGACTTCATTAGCTATATGGCACAAAATTTAATATGTTGTTTTTCAGTTTAATTCAGTACAAAGTATTTCCTAATTACCCTTGTGATTTCTTTTTGAACCCAGTTATTTTTAGAACTTTATTGCTTAATTTTGCAAAATTTGAGTATTTTCCAGATACGATTCTGTTGAATTCTGATGTGGTAACAGAACCCATTTTGTAAGATTTCAATTAGTTTAAGTTTATTGAGACTTGTTTCATGGCCCAGAATATTGTCTATCTTGATAAATATTACATGTGTACCAGAAAAGAATGTATAGTCTCCCATTGTTGAATAAAGTATTCTCCAAAAGTCAGTTAGGTCAAGGTAGTGGATAATGTTCTTCAAGTCATCTACGTCTTTAATATGTTTTGGCATACCTGTTTTGCAAATAAATGAGAGAAGTGTTAAAAACTGAAAGAAAAAAAAAGATGTGGTGCTGAAAATTCCTAACTGATCAGTATGTCCATGGAGATGTAAATGTCATTATATATTCCAGACCCATACAAAACTCTTTGTTGATCTTTACTATTTATTTTTTATTCCATGTTTAGAAACTTGTTCATTTGCAGATAGATGCTTCATTATAACAGATAAAAGCTGGGAAAGGCTTCATTATTATTATTATTGCTCTGTAACCCAGGAGTTAGTTTTAGGAAACTAAACCAGGGATTTTCAGATTCCTGGATGACAGTTAAAATTGTAAGTAGGAAGGTCCCTACCCAGTTAATAAATGTGTATTAGCTACTTGCTCTGGGTAAGACATGCACCAAATCCTACACCACAGTATTTCCAAGGCAAAGATTGACTGTAAACTTTGGAACTGATGGGGTGGGGATAGTTAATAACTTGCTGAATTCAAACACAAAGTAGACAGCCTCCAAGTTGTGTACACTTAACCACTGCCTTTTTCTGTGTTGTCTTTTGTGTTTGTTTTGTTTTCATTTAATAAACTTTTTTTTTTAGCAGCTGTAGGTTGAAAGAAAAATTGAGCAGAAAGTACACAGAGTTTCCGTGTAACTTTCCCCCACTCCCCGCAGACATCTTGCATTGGTGTGGTACGTTTGGCACAACTAGGGAGCCAATACTGATAACGTTATTATCAAAGTCCATAGTTTATACCAAGGTTCACGCTACGTGTTGTACATCCCATGGTTTTAACACATGTGTAATGACATGTATCCACCATCAATTACATTATCAGAACAGTCTCCCTGCCCCACAAACCCCCCCATGTTCCACACACACCCCTTCTCCCTCTTCCTGAACCCCTGGCACTCACTGGTCTTTTTACTGTGTCTATAGTTTTGCTTTCTCCAGAGTTTTGTATAGTTGGAATCATACAGCATGTAGCATTTTCAGGTTGGCTTCTTTCGATATGTGTCTGCATTTTCCCCACATCTTTTCATGGCTAATAGCGCATTTCTTTTTAGTGCTGAGTAATATTCCATTGAGTGGATGCACCAGACTATCCATTCACCCACTGAAAGACATCTTCCAAGCTTTGATCTGCTTTACACATTCATGTGAAGATTTTTTTTTTAATTCTGCATATTTCATTTTGTTGTGATAACATGAGGTACACGCTCTGGACGAAGTTCTGACTGCACAGTACACTACTGTTGACTGCAGGTCTGTGTTGTACAGCAGCCCTCAAGAAATGACTCACCCCGCTTGACTGCAGGTTTTTGTGCAGATGTTATTTTCAGCTCCTTTTGGTAAATACCAGGGAATGCACTGGCAACTGCTGGATGCTATGTTGAGAGTTAGCTTGGTAGAAACTGCCGGCCTGGCCTGTCTTCCAAAGTGGCTGTGCCATACTGTGTTTCCCTAGGAGGGAATGAGAGTTCCTGCTGCTCTGCTGTGTCCTCCTAGCATTTGGTGATGTCTGTGTTCTGGACTTTGGCCGTTTTGATAGGCGTGTAGTCCTATCTCATTGTTTTAATTTGCAGTTCCCTAATGGCACAAGATGTCCAGCATCTTTTCCTAGGCTTGTTTTCCACCTAAATATCTTCTTTGCTGAGGTATCTATTCAGATCTTTTGCCCATTTCTCAACTGAGTTGTTTTCTTGTTGGGTGTTTATGAGTGCTTTGTCTATTTTGGATTCCAGCTCTTTATCAACTGAGTGTTTTGCAGCCTCAGGCTTAGCTTTTCATCCCCTCACGTTGGCATTTTAGTGCCTCTGATTTACGACTCTAGTGTGCCTTTTAACAGAAAATTACACTGAAAAAGCACCAACCTGCTTAATAATATCATGAGTCATAAATGAGTACCCTGATGAAGGAGAATATAAAAAGGACCGATAGTCAGTAAGCAAATATTTATGCCTATATATAGGCTCACACTGGGACCTACTCTGCCTCTTCTCCCATAGCAGACTTCTAAGTGATTATAGCTCCAGGTGTAAGTGTTTATGTCTTTCGGGGTTATTCCCAAGGAAGGATTCTCTGTCCTGTCTTTTACATGGGGAGGATTGCCAGAGGAGGAGTGAGAACTGGAAGAAACGGGCGTAAGTTGGGGGGGGGGGGTGACGTAGGAATGCCTCTGGGAAGGCAGGAAGGGTAAGCCGCATAAATCCGCAGGCAGAAGGGTTAGGCCAAGTGAAGAGAAGAGACATCTCTTCTGTTGTGACCTGAGAGCATGAAGGGAGGGTGGGCACAAGTACAGATTACACCAGCGCTGGAGGCCGGGAGCGCAGAGAGTTCCCACCTGGGCGCCCCTCCTTTCCGTGAGGTTTGACGTGTGGGGCTTCAGGTAAGGGAGGGAGGGAGACAGGTGAAGGTTTAAGGACAACAGAGGTTTCATGAACATTCTTGCAGATAAATCTTTGCACACTTCTGTTTATTTCCATAAAATTCCATTTGCTAACTCAAAGAATATACCCATTTTTGAGGCGCTCAGAAGTTATTGGCATATGGGAGGGTCAACTTAATTTAACAGGAAGCTGAGCATAGAATGTGGTTTGTCCGCATTGTCCCAGCGTTGTCTTTAACACTGCCCCTTGTTACTCTCAAAAGCGGCCAGTTCAGATGGCAGCTTACACAGTCATCCTGCTTCTAGGTTAAGTTTGACGTGAAGGAAATTGGATCGTTTGTTACATGCTCTGTAAATATGATGAATTGAAAGCCCTGCTTTATGAGGAAAGGCTCTGAATTGTTCATCCAGGACAGAGCACACCTGTCATGTCACCTGACAGCTCCACAGCGAGAGCTTACTCTTCCCTGACCCTGCTGATGTCAGACCAACCTAGAAACCCTTTACTCTTTTGGATGAGGAAACTGAAATCTAGAGAAGTTAAGTGATCTGTGTAAGGTTTTAGGGCTAATTAAAAGAAAACTAAACAGAAGCCAGAGAAGATCCCCAATCCTAAGTTTGTTTTGGGGGGTTTTTTGCTTAAAAAAATTTATTTTCCAGTCAACTCCTGAGTAAAACTAATTTAAAAAAATAATGTTTCTAATTTTTGTGCAGCACATCCATGCTATCATGCCTTAAAAATTAAGAAAAATTACCTACCTCCGTGTGCCGCAAGATGGTCCACCACTTCTGTAGTTCCTCGAATTACGACCCACTACACCATTTACCCCCGGGACAAGGACAAGCGATGGGAAGGTGAGTGACCGTTTGTGTAAAATCGCTGAGACTCTTCTTTTGAATCCTTCCATGGGGGTAAATACTGTATCTTTCATGATGGTATAAAATCATCTGATATTGTATAACTTTACCAAATCTGGTACATATTAATATTTAGATAAGCAGATATTTGAGAGGTGATAGTAATAAACCTCAAAGCCAAAATCAGACGCGCCCTGGAACAGAATGGAAGAGAATGTTCCACTAAGACAATGAAGAATGTAGTGTAATCCTCACGCAGAGCGGAGGGCGACGTGTGTAAACGATGCTCTGAAGGAGGGTGGGGACCTGTGAGCCTGGGCTTCTGTCGGGTCATAGTCACCCCGTGTTTGTTTGTGTTTTCCCCTCCTCCCCTGGCAGGAGTGAACATGGAGAGGTTTGCAGAGGAGGCGGACGTGGTGGTCGTGGGCGCCGGCCCCGCCGGGCTCTCGGCCGCTGCCCGGCTGAAGCAGTTGGCCACCCAGCATGGCAAGGACCTCCGCGTGTGTCTGGTGGAGAAGGCGGCCCAGATCGGGGCTCACACCCTCTCGGGGGCCTGCCTTGACCCCCGCGCTCTCCAGGAGCTCTTCCCAGACTGGAAGGAGAAGGGAGTATGAAAAATTGTTCTCTGTGCTGAGTCTGACCTATGTAGTAGCTCTGTTTCCAAATTAATGGGATGTGGGACACCCTCTTCACAGAATTCTGTCTCTTAGAGGATAATTGGAGATGCAAGCTAAGTTAAAAAGGACCAAGAATCTGAATCATACCGAATACAACTTTAAGATGCCAACTCACTTTTACCTAATGCCTTGCACGTGCTGTGTTTGTGTACTGGCTTTGTGAGGAGGCCTCACCTGGAGAAAACCTAGGGATAGTTTTGGTTTGGAGGGTCTTTCCTGACTTGTCCCGTGGCTGTTTACATCCTCGCTCTTAATAACGTTAGGTAACTTCCTTGAGATGTTGCAGTACCTGAAGCCACAGGGAATAACTGAATCTGATTTTCTAAGGAAATAATAGTAATAATAAAATCAATAATCTAAGCAGAAAAATCTCTGGCATGATACACAGAGAGGCAAAGTCTGGTTTGACGGCACTGGCTGATCCATTTGTATGTCCTTGGTTAAACTCTTACACTCTGTATCTCAGTTTTTTCCTCTGTCAGATGCGTAACTACACCTCTCCCACCTCTCAGGTTATAGAGTGTTGAGTATCTGTGAATACACTTTGTAAAGACTGAAAAAACAAGTCAGCCGAGTGAATCTAAAGGTCAAATTAGCTTTATTTGGTGACTCGTGAGTCGTCTAGGGAACAGAATGGGGCTCCAAAGAGCTGCAGGAAAGGAAAGGTTTCTGAAGGCCGAGGAGTGGGGCACGCGGTCACAAGCAGAAGGATTAGTTCAGGCACTGTCACCGTCCAGGCAGGGTCTACAAGAGGCGACCTCGTCAGTACGGGGAGCGAGACCACGGTGACGGTGACGTACCTCAGAGAGGCCGAGGCTGGACCGAGCTGGGCTGCGGCTGTGGTGCTTAGCACACGTGACCACATTCCTCTCTAAAGCAGCACGCTCCTTTCACCTAGAAATACCATGGTTGTGCCTGATGAACGTTCTCTCTTCAATCGTACGTCAGAAGTAGGTATCTTTGACTTACTGACATAGTATCAGTTCTAGGAGAAAAAGTTTTTCATATCGAGGCCTTATGTAGCTGGGCAGGTCCAGTCTACTCCACACATGTTAATTGTCTTTACCTGAAGGAAAAATAAAACTTCTGTTTCCATCGAGCAGGAAGTGACAGCTGGTGGAAGCAGGTGCCTAGGCTCACATCCCACAGAGACAGGGAGACAGGAAGCTACTCTCCCTGCCTTCACATTCCAAAGACAGCTGCCTCCAGGCCCCCGAGAAAGACAGTCCTGAGATGCAGACCGGCTTACTTAGGTTTAAGAAAGATTCCCACCCACCTCAGGGAGACAAGGATTGACAGTGTCAAGTTTTCCAAAGGAAGTGATGAAGGAAAAGTGAGGAGGATCGCTCTCTTTCCTTTTTGATACAGTTTGTTTGTTATTTATATTTCATGAATGTGAGCTAAAAACATTCTTTTCTCTCCCCTTTTGTTTCCAGGCTCCACTGAACACTCCCGTAACAGAAGATCGATTTGGGATTTTAACAGAGAAATACAGAATCCCTGTGCCAATTCTTCCAGGTAAGGAATGATAGTTGTCGAACGTAAAGCCCCGCAGCTGGAGGGAACTGTGTGTCCTCTGGGGAAAGCGCTTCCTCTTGTAGATGAGAAAAGTAAAGCCCAGGGACTTGAAGGACTTCCCCACAAGCCAGCTGTGAAACTCTGGGTAGGAAGGCAGGACTAGAGCTCGGTTCTTCTGTCTTCCAGTCTAGAAGAATTGAGATAGTCTTGTAAGCCAGCAGAAATGTTTAAGTTAGTTCTGTAATGTTGTTTTCAATTTAGTCATTTGAGTTCTAGACCAGAATTGTTGGAAAATAAATCTGAATAATGGCCTTAAGACAATGTGTGTATTTATGCAGAAATTACATGTGATTAGAATTTCTAAATTGAGTATGTATGTTCTGGAGATGTTTACCAATGAAAAGTCCGACGTGTAAAGTGAGCGTATGTTCGCAGGTCTCCCCATGAACAACCACGGCAACTACATCGTGCGCCTGGGGCACCTGGTGAGCTGGATGGGCGAGCAGGCGGAAGCGCTCGGGGTGGAAGTCTACCCCGGCTACGCGGCCGCTGAGGTGGGTGCGGCTCCGTGGGTGGCACTTAGTGGATGGGACCCCTTTGTCTGTGGAGTATAACCCAAGAATGGTGCAGAGTAAATAAATAAATATTTTAGAAAGGCCATAGGATTTTAGAATTGCAGGATTAGAGGGAATCCTAACAAGAGCTAATCCAAAGAGTGCTTGAATCCCTTGTCCCCACACCAGGTGGTCGTCCGGCGTGGGACTGAACACGACCTCTGACGTCTGGGTTGTTGGTAAAACCCTCTTCCTTGCAGTGAAGAGACATTTATGCACTGTTCTGTACTACAGAGAGCGACCCTGTGTCCCCTTGCAGGGGCAGCTTTCCAGTTACGCCGCCGCCCTGCTCTTCCTCCCCACCTTCACTGGTGTGTTCCTTTCCCCGGTGACATATTGTTCATTCTTAGAGCTGTCACGTTATGTACTTCGAGATGCGTCAGTTTCTTGCCGTCCTCCGAGCGCATCCCCTGTTGTCCCCTCCTTAAAGCGGCACCGGGAGGAATTCCAGCCTCGTGTGCAGCAGGACTGTTGCCGCCTTCATTCTAGAAGCTGTTCTTCCAATAATTCCCTCAAAGGAACTCTTATGGCAGCCACATCCTACTGTAGACTCTCACTAAGTATTATTGGGAAATTATTAAAAGCAAAGTCTCCTGCCAACCTAGAAAAAGCACCTCTCCAAATTATAAAGAAGATTGAAACAGTGTTACTACTGAATGAGCACTGAGCCGAGACCTCAGCGCAGTTACCGGCCGTCCACCCTCTCACGTAGCTGGGCAGCTGCGATGTGTTACATGCGTGCTCACGATCTTTATCCAGGGAAGTAAAGCCTGCTGTGTCTCCTTGGCCCGCAGGGAGGGACAGCTTGGAGCAGCAGGAAGCCCGGACTCCCCCGCAGACGGAGACGGGCACCATGCTCGGTGTTCACACGGCAGAGCCGTCTCTGAGGCCCCGCGAAACGCACGACTGAGATACAGGCCTGTGGCGGGGCTCATTTCACTCTTAACTGACACGCTTCCCGTAGATCTAAGAGAGACAGGAAAGGACTTATAGTTAAGTTGTCTGAAGGAAACACTGGAAGGTTCTGCATGGGAGCAGGAGTTCTTTTGTTCTTGTCACCAGCGAAAACTCAAAAAACGTTCTCACCCTGACAACGTGCAAGTCAAACAGAACAGCCAGGTCCCCGCGGGACGCCTGCTGCTGCTGGCTCCTGTTCCCCGGGTCACAGGTGTGCACTTGGTTGTGCCTTTCTCCTGCATAAGCTGTTCTTGGCTGGGAGTCAGTGTCTCAGTCACAGCAGGTGGTTTGTAGAGTCCATGACTTTCAGTTTTTGAACGTGTGGGCACACGTGCTCATGAGTGTGCACGTGCATGCGCACGCACACACATTCTCAGAGGCCCCTGCACCTCTCCTGCGCCTCTCCTCCTCCTCGGTGTTTGTTACTCTGAGGCCGACCTCCAGTCCAGGTCACAGCCACATCCTGCTGTTGATGGGTTTCCCAGGTGCCAAATAAAAGGTTGATACCTGTTTGTCATAGCCCTGCTGCTAGTCCTGCTCCGCCTTTCCACTCCCGGGCTTCCTGCGGTGTGATGATAATGTGCATTTTGTTCTCCGCTGTCCAAAGAGCGATTTCCTCCATAGGAAACAGACCAAGTAAGGGCTACGGAGAATTGTTATTTTTCATCTTCAGAGTCACACTTTTGGACAGTTTCCCTCCTTCCTCCGTGGTCTGGAAACAAGCTTGAGTCACCTTCAGGCTGTCTTCAACCCCTCTGTGATGTTTGTGTCTGGGTCGCAGCTTCTGGGGGACAGAGCTTCCCCGACAGTGTCCTTGTCCCACCCCACCGGCGGCCCTCGCCTGTCCTGGCCCTGACTCCAGGTTCACGCATGTGTCTCTGACCCCCGAACCCAGCAGAAGGCTCCCTGCTGCATCTCGCCTGCTTTGTCAGTGTCCCCTCCGCCAGCCCCGTCCCTCCCCATCAGATGGAGCATTTCTTCCACCTCTGCCTGTCTGAGCCACATTCTGCTCCATCTAGAAGGCTGTGTCTTAGAAACTTGCCTTTTTTTCCCCGCAACATCCTTAAGCCTGTCGTCAAGAGGACACGTTCACCTCCTAGAAAGTCTAGGGCTGTTCGTTGTTGCTTTCCAAGGCAGTTACGAATCCTAAGGTGATAAGGAAATGTGTTTGCATTCTAGGTCCTTTATCATGAAGACGGAAGCGTGAAGGGGGTCGCCACCAACGATGTAGGGATACAGAAGGACGGGGCACCAAAGGTAACCGCTGAGGGTCTGCACTGAGCAGGCTGGTGGGGCGGGGTGGGGGCCAACTCACAGCTGCAGGCTGCACATGAGTGAGTAGCGGTGTTAATGTGGACTCTCTCTCTCATTGATAAAAATACAGAAGCATTTTTGCACTGAATGTAATTTAGGCAAGTAAATATAACGTGTAAGAATAATTTTTTTTAAGATAAAAACTTGACTCCTATGAATATAAAACAAACACGTCACAGATTTTATTTCACTCATTAGTTAATGAGGGTATCAGTAAGATGTGGTCATTCAAAGAGAAATTGGGCATTCGGGATTTGCAGACACACACTACTGTGCATAAAAGAGGTAACAGCGAGGTCCTCCTGTAGAGCACCGGGAACTACATTCAATAATGAAAGAATATGGGGGGAGGGTGTGTGCTTAGGGTGCACAAGGTCCTGGGTTCAATCCCCAGTACCTCCATTAAATAAATAAATAAGTAAACAAACAGACCTAATTGCCTCCCCACCCCCCAAAAAATAATAATAAAACAAAAATTTTTTTAAAAAGAAAAAGAATATGAAAAGGAATATATATATGTATAAATACATAACTCAGAAATTGACACAACATTGTAAATTGAATATGCTTCCAAAAAGATATTTTTAAAAACCTACGTAAGAGTGAGAATAAAAAGTGAGGGAAGGAAAAACCAAAAAACAACAAACATACCCGCGTAGGTCAGGGACCCGCCGCTCCAGCCGCCTCCAGTCCCCGTGCCTGAGGGCAGGAGTCTTGGCAGGGTTGCCGTCAGTAGTGCTGATGCAGTCTTTGCCAGGAGTTTGACATCTTTAGGTAAATGGAAATCTGATTGCCTTCCTCTCATTCAGAAGTTTCCACAAATAGTTAATTTGGGGTTCATAAAAGAAGAGCCCTTGAGACTTGGATCTCACACCCTGTAAGGTTCCTCGGAAAGGACAAGGAAAAGTGCCTTGCGTTCCTACAGTGACAAGAGCAAAACACACGTTCACACTTGCATAGATTAACTCACCTCTTCGTGCTGGTTTGTTCCTTGTCTGAAGTTCCCAACCAGCTGAGAGGCTTCGTGAGGGCCGGCCCGGAGCCGGCGAGGTGCCAGGCCGTGCCAGGCCATGCCAGGGCCTCCGGCAGCCTTGGGAGCTCAGCCTGTCCGCTCTGCTGTTCTTTTTGGTTTGCCTTTAATCATGTGGAAGGAGAGTGGGTTCCCAGAGCTGTGTTAGTTCCAGGCATACAGCAGTGACTCGGGCACCTGTTCTTTGCCATTGTGGGTCACAACCGTTCTTGAGTAGAGTTGGGCACCCAGGCCGGCGCCCCCTGAAGCACAGCCTCCTGCTCTTAGTCTCCCCGCTCCGCCATCCCTCCCGGTGGTCTGACCGCTGCACCAGAGTCGCGCGAGGTCTGGGAGCTCGGTGGGCCTGTCAGACGGGCCCAGGAAGGCGACTGAACAAGCCCCAGGGTGTCTCATGAATCCCTGGGTTTTCAAACAACCGTTACCTCACACTGCTGCGCATAGCGCATCTGAGCCCAGGCTCAAGTGCCCGCAGTGCAGGGCCGGACCGGCAGTGCGAGTTTGCAGCCAAGTCAGAGTTTATTGCAGGGCGCCAAGCCAGGGAGTGGGAGACAGGGTCAGGTCAGGGCAGATCCCCTGCCGCCTGGTCTCTGACTTGGGGATTCTTTGAACGGGAAGAACAAAGAGGCTAGGATTAATCATTGTCTGGTGCCATTTCTGTGACATTTCCTCATCTAATTTTGGGAGTCAGGATGTCCATGGTTTACGATTCTCATGCAGGTGGTCCACGACTGGGTGGGCGCTCTTTGAGCTCCTCCTACCCTGAGTGTGCATGTCCGATGCACGGGGTGTCCCGCAGCAGCTCTGGTCATGACCGAATGTCCACAGCAGCAGCCTGGTCATGACTCTGGGTGGTTGGTGTTCAGTAGCACAGGGTCAAGGTCAGAGGGGACAAGGAAGGAGTAAAGTCTTGAATAGAGAGGTTAGCCAGGAACTTGGTGAGGGAACTCAGGCGTGGGTGGCCCAGTAACAATTAAAGGGTGTCGTTTTCTCTGACTTCTCTCCTGTGTTGTGGTCACTCTTTTCTGTATCATGATCATTTAATTTTAAATCACATTTTATTCTTTAAAAATTTGCATATTTACTATTACAACAAAACCGGAGCACCCAGAGTCTACCATTCTGATATTTCCTGTGTGTGTGTGTGTGTGTGTGTGTGTGTGTGTCCTGGTATTTGTCCAGGGTGTGTTTTTGTGTTCTGTGCTCTGTAGTTGTAGAAATAGTTGTGTCGTCTATGTTGTATTTATACGGACAAAAAAGCCTAGAAGAGTACAGTGGACTCTTAGTAACCGAAACTCCCAAATCGGAGGTTTTAGAAAAGTACTTTGGTACGAGAGGTCGGGCGGAGCCAGGGGTGATTCTGCTTACCCCGCTGGTCCACCCCTGCCAGCCCAGCACACTCGGGCTCCTCCACGTCCTCTCCCTGACACTCGTCCGCCACAGACCCCCGCCCGTCACCCAGGTTAGTCCTCTGTCCTCTCACGGCCCCGGAGGCAGGACCGGCTCAGCGGGCTAACGTCTCCCTCCTGGAAAAACCATCTGGCTTCCCCACCACCTCCTGTCGGTTTCCTTGTGTTTCTGAGGCCTCTTGCTGCCTTGCTTGCGCCTCCTCCCCTCCCTCCTGTCCTCCGAACAATCCAGGCTCCAGGCTGCGTGTTGGGTCCACACCTATGTTCTCTGCAGGCCCATGGCTTTGAATGCCTCCTCCCTGAGTCCGGACCACGTGTCCTGCTGCTTATTCCACGGCCCCAGCCTCAGGTCTGTTAGGTGCGTGGCTGTAAGAAGTGGGATTTGGACGTGCTTCCATTTCCCAGGTCTCTGAGTAACTTGCCCAGGGTCAGACGGCCACGAAGCGGAGGGGCTGGGATGGGGGTCCGGCACACGGAGGGCAGGCTGCCTCTAAGAGGAAGTGGGAGTGTGCTCAGCGATGTTCAGTTCGTTAAGCTAGGATTGTTTCATAAGTGGTGCTGCGAAAACTCCATGTCCCTCTGCGAGCAAAGAGTTGGACCGTCATTTTTTCTTAATGGTCATGATTTTGTAAAACAGTAAAAAAAAAAAAAAAATCAGAAAGAAATCTAGATTACAGTCACAGCCTAGGGTTGGAGTGAGCCATCCTGTGTAGGCAAGAAATTGAAAACCTGTAAGAGGCAGACCTCTTTTAAGTATTTAAAACTTAGACACTTCTGTGTGCCGGAAATACTATAGAGTCTGCAGATAAGCAGAGATTGGGCAAAACATGTTTGACTGCCCGTGATGTCAGAGAGCCCGTGTACACTGACAAGAAAAAGACAGCACGTTAAAAGATGGGCAGAATGTTACAAAGTGACAGTTCACGGAAGAGCAAGTGCTGGCGAGCCCTCCCTGTGAGGAGTGTCGTCCGCAGTGTCGCACCTCCCGGAGAGCCCTTCCCACTCGCCCGCCCGGAGACCTCCCTCCCCGCCCCATCCTGACACCCTGTGCTCCTCCCAGGGCACTGTCACAAGTGTGATTATACCCTCAGGTCCTTACTGAGCTCTGCTCTGTGACTTGCCTGCAGGAAAGGGACGTGTCTTCCTTTCTCTCTCTCTCTCTCTCTCTCTCCCTCTCTCCTTGTGCCCGGCATAGAACCTGGCACACTGAGGTGTTCATTTAGTACTTCAATCAAAAAGGAAAAGATGCTGAAAACAGTGGTCAGGAAAGTGCAGATTAAAACAGCAGTGATTTGGCACCGCACTTGGCGAAACTGTAAGAGGCACCGTTAGCTCTGTCAGCAGCTGGGCCCAGGGAGGGCTCTTCTCACACTGCAGGCGGGGATGTCAGCTGCTTCAGGCTTTGGGGCAGACCGTCTGGTGATACCCAGCAAGATGAAAAGAGGTGTGCCCTCTGACCTTCCGGTGCCCCCCTGGGAACCTCCTCCAGGAACAAGAGCACCAGTATCCTAAGGGTCCCTGTACAGGGGTGTCCTCTGTGTGACACTGTTTACTGTCGCAGATGAACTGGACACAGAGTGGCTGGCTGTTGTCCACTAACAGGGTGGCTGAATGACCACCGGTGCCCCCCAGACTACTGCCCAGCCACTAAAGAGGGAGGTTGGAGCTGCCCGGTCCTTTGACGAGACTCCCTGAAGCGTTACTAGTTAGAAAAATGTGTGTTATATGATCCTCTTTTTGTAAAATAAACCAGGAACCAAAAAAGTTTTAAGTGTCTGTGGAAGTGTCTCAGTGCATACATGTGTACGTCACATGCCAGGCTGACAACACGCTTTACAGACAAGTGCAGTGTAATGTTGTGAGAGGCAGGGGACAGTAAAAAGGTGTCACCTCTAGACTGGGCACGTGCATGACGGTGGGGGAGCACCGCACAAGAAAAACAGACACCAGCAAACTCTAGTAGCGAAAGGTGTGAAATTAGCCATGAAATAGTTCATACCATTTAGACCGAAAATATTTAGCACCAAGGATATTAATCTGAGCAGTGCTTGTAACAGTGAAACACACTGGAAGAACCTAAATGTCTAGCTGGTTGAAAAGTTAGAGGAATCTATTCAAGCATTAAAAATGCAAGCTTTATTTGGTGTATATTGCCTTAGGCAGGTCACTTCATAACATGAAAACAGTTATGAAACGTTTCGTCCACGTCAGCCTTTTTTTGTGTGAATGTGTCTGTGTGCATGTGCACATGCAAATCTATGAGCAGAGAGGTATCGGTAAATAACGTTGTTTTATAAGAGGTTTTCTTATTCTGTATTTTTATTTAGTAACCTTATTGGGTAACTACCATGTGCCACACGTAAGTGCAAAATACAGACGGCAGTAGAGAAGGAGCTGAGTTGGAGCTTTATTCTCCCTTTGGGAGAGACATTTCAGTTCTATCATGCACCTCCAGCAGTAGACGGCAAGTAAGATTAAAGTGCACACGAGTAGTTGAGTATGTTTAGGTCCTGACTGTGTTAGAAAGATGAGTAGACTCTGTATACACTTCTTTATTCATGGAAATTTTCTGGCATGATTCACAAGAAAGCTACTCATAGTGTTTTTTGCTTCAGGTCATGGGACTGGAAGATCAGGAACAGCAGAGAGATGGCCTTTCACTTTACAAAAAAGTTTTTAAATTATGTAGCTTTCTGGTGTCCAGCGTTGTAGTTTGACGTCTGTAGACACTGCAGAATGATGACACCTCAAGTCTGGTTCCCGTCGGTCACCGTACAGTTGATCCCTTCCCCGCCTCGCCACCCCCTTCACTCCTACCTGTATTGTCACTTGTAGATAATTGGGGTGGGGGTGGTGAGCATGCTGTGTTTTTTTTTAATTCTTACGGATTTAACCATTCAATCCAGTACCTCTGAGGTCCAAAAGAAAACTGTAACAAAGACACAAGATAAACGATAAAATTTAAATTCAATTCCACATACAACAGTGCTCTGTTTCACCCTAATATGGTATATTTGCACTGTCCCTTCTGCACCTGAGTCATAGTTCAGTTCACAGCTGACGGAGTGTGAATATTTTTTCAGCTGTCAAACATTGCAGTTTAACCCACTTTTATTTCTTAGGCCACCTTCGAGCGAGGACTGGAACTGCACGCCAAAGTCACAGTTTTTGCAGAGGGCTGCCACGGACACCTGGCCAAGCAGCTCTACAGGAAGTTCGACCTGAGGGCCAACTGTGAGCCCCAGACCTACGGGATTGGGCTGAAGGAGGTATCCGGGCTCCGTGGTTATTTTTTTATTGACTCAAAATGTTCATAATGACTGAAAATATTTGGGATTTTTTTTAAGGGACTAGAAAATATTCCTATTCAAAGTCCACTATTCTCTAAATTGTCTGCACATGTTCTAATTGCTTTATCAAATGTTGATTGAAAGAAAAAGTGGAATATATTTGTAACATTGATTTTGTTTTTCATTGTAATGTTGTCTGCCCTAATACAATTTGACCTGCTACCCAAACGCTGTCTGTAAGATGGCCACCCCCCACAGGAATTGTTTATTCAAAATTATAATATAAAGAGAATTTATTTTATGAAATACATACTCAGCTATAGTATAACATTGGAAAATAAGCTTTAAATGAAATTTTAGCCATCTGCAACCTAAAGTGTACTTAGATTAAGTGTTGCATCTTTTCTATTTATCCAGTCTCTAATCTATTTTCTCAAACCTGAGGTTTACTAGTGTAAAAGTTTCCTTGTAATTCTTCAGTTAAAAATTTTTTTAGGGTAAAGCTCAGAATGGTTCAGATTCTGTGTGTGACTAGATTCACTGTGTTGTGAGTACGGGCTTAGTTGTTCTGGTGGATTGCACAACACTACCTGATGGCCAGTGATGCCTGATTTTTAGATACTGTTTCATATGGAAATGGTGGTTTAAAATTTAAAGCTCACCGTTGTGAAAGTAAGGTGATGAATCCCCTTCAGTGGGGAAGAGGGTAGTGTGGGAGAGAGTGACCTTCCTTCCTGCAGAATAACAGCTGTGCTGTGAGGTGACAGCTCTGAGGTGTGGGCTCGGTGGGTATTCACAAGGGGGACACGCCCATGTGACCCCCACCCAATCTCCTGGCCCCGGGAAGCTTCCTTGTCTCTCCGGTGGCGTCCCCTGTAATCGCCTGGACGCCTTCCAGTCTGAGAGTCTCATGAGTGTCTTAGAGTCCCTAACCTTCCCCCCTGTGACTTTGCTCCGACTCATCCTGCTGCGGGGTGACGCCCCTCTCTTGGATGTTTGAAGTTCTCGTTGTGTTTCCCCTGTTACAGCTTGTCGCTTGTCACTTTCACACGTAAGACACAAACCTTAGTACCCCTAGTGATGACATTAACATTTAAATAATACTCTGGGCTTCTTTTTCAGCTGTGGCTTATTGATGAGAAGAAGTGGAAGCCGGGGAGGGTGGACCACACAGTGGGCTGGCCGCTGGACAGACACACGTACGGAGGCTCCTTTCTCTACCACCTGAATGAAGGCGAGCCGCTCGTGGCCCTCGGCCTGGTGGTGAGTTCGGGGCCCGCTGTGGACAGTCCCCGTGAGGGCCTCCAGGGCTATGAAACCAGGGTTCTGCATCCGGAGGCTGTAAAGGGCTTTTCCCATTTCACGCACTGTCCAGTGTCATCTGTGTGTGACGTGCGGTGGCCGCTGTGGACGTTGGGCCATCGCTGTTCCACTGCACCGGCCCCGTGCCGGCTGCTGCCCGCATGCCCGAGGCGGCGGGGCCAGCCTTCCTCTGCGGGAGGGAGAACCAGCGCAGGCCAGGCGCTCCGGCCCCGCACCCAGAGACCCGTGGGCGCCGCTGGAGATGCAGTGGCTCGGGGCTGGATCCCATAACTTCGTAAAACAGGAGCATTTTCTCCCTGTCGGTCACTGCATCTTCGCAGCAAACTACGTCTTGACCGTTACAAGGAATGGGAAGACCACTCCGTGTGGCCGCACCTGCACTTGGCTGCAGCCTGTGGTTTAGGCCCCGCTTAGGCTTGTCTGCGACACGGTGTTAAGTGCGTGCGGGTTCGCTGTGCTCAGCGCAGCGCTGTTGTGTGGTTTGTACAGAAACTTCATCTTTTTCAAAGCAACAAAGGTGTAGTGATTAACTTCAGCGCTTTGGCAATGCCCTGTAAAACAGAAGCCCCGGTAGTTGCTGCCCTCTTTTTTTTTTTTTTAAGTGTGCTTGCATTCTGCCTCTTCATTCTGGCCTCAGTAGTGCTGTTTCTAGAGTTGATGTTGATAAACGAATAATAAACTGTGGCAGCTCCTTTTGTAGAAACATAATGTAAGACACCTACCAATATTTTTTTCTAATTTGGACTTAGATTTACAGAGCACAGTATTTATTAGTATGTCCTAAATTGTTTTAAAGTTTTGCCAGCTATAAACACATGGTTTCCTTTTATTTGCCCTTTCTTTTCCAAACAGATTTTACTCAGTTATTTAAATCTCAGTCACTGCATGTATTTTTCTAAGTGTTTTGAGTATAGGAAATTTAATGAACGTATTTTCTGATAAATATTGCTCACTTTTGAGCAATATTTTAGCTTGATATAATTTGAAATAAGTGTCTAACTTAAATATAAAAATTTAGCCTGATATAATTTGAAATAAACATCTAATTTAAATATAAAAATTTCAAGGTTGGTCTAGACTATCAAAATCCGTACCTAAGTCCATTTAAAGAATTCCAGAGGTGGAAGCACCACCCCAGCATCCGGCCGACGTTGGAAGGTGGGAAAAGGATTGCATACGGGGCCAGGGCACTCAATGAAGGCGGCTTTCAGGTAACCCTCCGCGCTGTTTCTTGTTTCTGTATTACAAATTCAACCTTGAAACGTGATGTAACAAATGTAGGTAAAGAAAAGGAAATTATCTCGTGGGAAGAAAATTTAAGTAACTAAGCAAAGCACCCTAGTATTTATAAGACTGTACCACGACGTAGATAAATCAATGACACCGTGAATCCATTTTAAGAATATCTCAATTTCTAGGGACAAATTCATAGGCTTTTTTTGTTTGTTGGTCTGTTTCTAAAGAGAAAATTTAAACTATGTGATCAAGATATTTTCCTTTATTCCTTAGCTGCCAGGAAACTCAAGGACAAATGTAATTTTCAGCAAAGGTAATTAATTCATCTCAATTACCTAGTAACATCCATGGCTTTTAGGAGGCCTCTGTTAAGTTTTTACCCTTGATTGCCCTATTTTAGCATCTGTTCAAAATAAGTCCTTCCACATGCAGTCAATGCATTAAGTATATACCAGTAAGATAAAAGCTATTAGCGCTGTTGTGGGAACAGCATGAGACAGGTAAGATGACCTAAAGATCTGCTCTAGAACTTAGACCAGATGGTTTGCTCAAGTTACTTTACTCCTCTGGCCTTCGGGGACCATCTGTAAGATAAAGGTGACCCCTTCTATCTCCCGTGTTCTCGGGATCTATAACTATTTTAGAAATTGCGTATCTTTGAAAAAGAAAAGTCTGTTGTGAAAGTCACAGATCATAGAAAATTAGGGTGAAGAATTGATTTAACCTTTAAAGTGATGTTCTAAATACATTATTATTATAACAGTGATTGTAACATCATAGCGAAATTCTGAATGTAATCACTAGAACCCTAAAATAGCACCATCCCCAAGTTCTGTTAAAGGTACGGGGTACCACTTAGGAGGCGGTTTTTGTTTCCAGAATAGTTAGTTCATGTGAAACAGTGTTTATTAAATTGCCTGTGTTCAAGTCCATTAAGCTTTTTTGAATAATGTCCTCAATACCCACTGTCAGCCCAATTCTGCTCTTTTTAATTCCTAGTGTAAAGGTTTGGCATGTTCAGTAGTAAGGGCAGATTCGTCACACACACACACACACACACACACACACACACTCACTTTTTACCTAAATTTTCTGACTTAATTAGTCAAAGATGTAGAAACTTAATTTCCATTAAGTTTCTGAAGACTCTTAAGACGTAAAAATTCGGAACATTCAGCTTTATTTTGAGCTAACAAGTATTATCACGTGACTTTTTATTCCTTTCCTCAGTCTGTACCCAAACTCACCCTGCCTGGAGGGTTTCTAATTACTTAGCCCAGTTTAACGGATGTCCCAGGATACATTTCTTGGTGCAACTTTTCCTCGGTCCCTAGTTCCTTAACAGGATGCCCAGCTCCCAGTAGCACTGCCCATGCAGGGTAGAGTCCTCCCTGCACTGAAAATCACCCATTCCTTTGGGCCACATTTTTATTCTTAGAACTTAAGCACCAATTTGGAAGAATTTACACCAGCAATCCGTGTCCTTTTATTAAACTTCAGTCTTTGGTTCTTGACTCAAGCCTATTATTAGCAAGGCCCAGCCTTCTTTGAGAAGGTCATTGTCATTCCCCAGGTTCCTGGCCATCCCCTCTGCTTCCAGCCCTCAGCGTTCCAGAAAGCCCCTCCCGTTGTCTACTCTCTGGCCCGCATGGTTCTGGTGCCGAGCTTGGTGTGAGAAGCAGTCATGCATTCCTTCCTTTCTTGCGTGTCCTGTGGAGGGAACTGGGCCTTGTCCTCTGCCAGCCTGCCTTCTGTCCCCAGCCCCGCCTCTCCCTGTCACAGCTCGAACTCTGTGACCACGGGAGCTGCGGCTGTGGCCACGGTGGGCTCACCACGCCCCCTGCACTGAGGCAGTGGCTTCCCTGTCCCCGTGCTCCGCCCCCAGGCCCCTCAGCACTGCCGGTCTGGCCCCCGCCACCCACCACTCATAAAGACCCACGGCTGGAGGAGTAGCTTTCAGGGGAGGAAAAACCTAGACAGGAAGCGCACCCCTGCTGGCCCCTCCTCGTCCCTTCTCTAACTGTAGATTACAGTGCGCGCCCCCGCCCACGGTCCCTAAGTCAGCTGCTCGGTGTGTGGCGGAGACAGAAAATATCACCGCCCTTGATCACGCTGCTTTTCATCAGAAATGTGTTCTGATGCCCAAACAACCATCTTAAGTTTTTATTTTGGAGATTCAGCTTATTCTTAGGTTAATGTAAATGGATCATTTAAGGTACTAGCTAATTGTAGTGATGCCATGATTGGGACCTAGGTCCCCATCCCTAGACATCAAAGTAAAATAAAAGGATAAATAGAGTTAAGACGAAATCCTTTGTAAATCATGTGTTACCCCAATGTGTGTAAAAGCAGATTGCAATGTAGATAATAGTCGTTCAGGGTTAGAGAATATTTTTAATTATGACATGGATACGTATAAATAAACACACTTTAAATCTTAACGCTCTGGAGGGGAAGGGTATATAGCTCAGTGGCGGAGCACATGCTTAAGCACGCACCAGGTCCTGGGTTCCATCCCCAGTGCCCCCGTTAAGAAAAACCGTAATAAAAATGAACGTTAACGCTCTGGCTTTAAGTCTGTCCCATGTGGCTGCATCTTGGAGAGGGAGAATGAAAGGTCTTCATGGACAAATAGTCATAGTTCCAGCCCCGTTCTCAGGGGAGGGGGTGCCCTTGCTCTGCTGTCTTCCTTCTCTGTATTCGTTTTCATGTCTTTTTCCCCGTTTTTCCTACAGCTTTAAGAGAGGCTGTTAAGTTGGAGAATTGGGTTCTGCTTGTTCAGTGTGAGCTAACAAATGCACCTGACTGTTCCTCTCCTCAGTCTATACCGAAACTCGCCTTCCCTGGTGGGCTGCTGATTGGCTGTAGCCCCGGCTTCATGAACGTTCCCAAGATCAAGGGCACCCACACAGCCATGAAAAGTGGGATTTTGGCAGCAGAATCTATTTTTAATCAACTAACTAGTGAAAATCTCCAATCAAAGACAGTAGGTAAGAACTTCCTATTTAGAGTATAGAAAATTGCCAGGGCCTTCAGTCGGACATTTGAAAAGAAGCTATTTAAACACACAGGGTGAAAGTAAATACAGTCTAAGACCTCGGTGGTTTCGTATCTGTTTGGCATGGAGAGAGGCCCGCGTGCCTGCCCTGCACACGAGCATCACCGCGGACAGCGCCCGGTCCTGTACCTCCTGACCCTCCCGAGTGCGGGCGCAGCCGGCACCGCCACCTGTGCTCCCCCTGCCAGCGGGACCGCTCAGTGCTGCCCAGATTTCTCAGAGTAAAGCCGAGCGGCTCAGCCAGCCTTCAGCCGCCCCCTCTCCAGCCCGCCCGTGTCTGCTCGCCGCCCACCCTGGGCCCCTCCCTGGGCTCGGGTCTCTCCGGGTGGCCTCACGTTGGCCCCGAACCAGTTAATCTGCAACACGCGTGTGCACGCGCACACACACGGGGCATCCCAGGCCCTCTTCCCGCATTGCGGCCTCCCAGGGTTACTGCCCAGCGTCGGTCTCACTGTGCCATATCCTTATTTATCACCTCTTGTCTCCCACCTCTTGGATGGAAAACACCGAGAGCAGGGGCTTCGTTCACTTTGAGTCAAGATGCTGGATAAAGAAGCCTTGTCCCTTAGGGTCAGGTGACAGACGTTCCTCCAGATAGAATGTGCAGCCTGACCACGTTCAAGCGCGTGTGTGGAGGTGGAGGCCAGGGAGGGCAGGACCAGCGGAGGGCAGGAGGGGGGCCCCAGGGAGGGCAGGACCAGCCGGCGCAGGGCGGGGTGCCGGCTGACAGCGGGCCTGAGTGCTCCTTGCGTTCTCGCCAAGGACCTGTCCTTGCTGGCCCGGCAGCCCCGCTCCTCTCTCCCGCGCGGACAGGACTGGAGCAAGCAGGTCTCCAGGCCCGGGGAGGGGTACAGCCCGCAGGGAGGATGGCCGCCACCGAGCTCGTGAGCCTTAGGAAGAGCCAGTACATGACGGGTTCAACCGTTAACAGGCAGAAGTGTGTCACTGATGAGTCGTGAAACGTCCCACTTTTATAGGTACTGTACAAAGTCTTAGCTTCCTTTTGAGATTCACTGAATTTTGACACTAATTTTCCATCTACCAGTTTGGCCTTACTGCCTGTTGACAACATACATGGAAGGGTTATCTTTGTGGAAGACGTCAACACGTGGTCTTCTAGGACCACCCACTTTTTAAAATGACCTGAGATTCATCGTTATTTCAGTAGCAAAGTACCCAGGCAGTAAGTGCTTTATACTCCTTGTGGCAGTTTCACACTTAGCATTTCATGTTCTTAATGAAAAGGACTCCATGTAACTGAGTATGAGGACAGCTTGAAGAAATCGTGGGTGTGGAAGGAGCTGTATGCTGTTCGGAACATCAGGCCGTCCTGCCACGGGGTCCTGGGTGTGTACGGAGGGATGGTTTACACCGGAATCTTCTACTGGATATTCAGAGGGATGGAGCCCTGGACCCTCAGACATAAAGGTATCTCCCTGCTCTGAGAGGGTGCATGTCAGTCACTGAAGACTCAGGAAGGCGCGCTGATGAGTAGTGAAGTTGGCCAACTTTTTTAACGTTTTAAGACTTGCTTTATTGGCGAATTATAAATTCAGTAGCTTTAAGAGAACAGTGTATCATTGTTTTGAGAGGGCTGAAGTCCTGTTACTTTAGTATAATATTTACAAGTTTTAATAAAAATGTCTAAACTAAGGAAGTACTTTTAAATGTTATACCTTTATTAAAATCTTCTCAAAACCTCGGAAGGTTCTGACTCTGATCAGCTCAAGCCAGCCAAGGACTGCACACCTATTGAGTATCCAAAGCCGGACGGACAGATCAGCTTTGACCTCCTGTCGTCCGTGGCTCTGAGCGGAACGAACCACGAACACGACCAGCCGGCGCACCTAACCCTGAGGGACGACAGCGTGCCCGTGAGCAGGAACCTGGCGGTGTTCGACGGGCCGGAGCAGCGGTTCTGCCCCGCAGGTCAGTGTGGCCCCGCCCCCGCCCCCACAGCCCGAGTAGTCAGAAACGTGCTTCTGGCGTCTTGAGAAACTTCTCCCCCGGCCTGGAAACTGTCGGTGACTCCCACGTCCAGCTCCCTTCTGAAAACTCAGTAACATTCTTGTGGCCCCTACTCTTAATTCATGATATTAAAGTGGTAGGGAGTTTTCTTAAGCCTGATTCAGATGGCATTTCTCAAAAAAAGGAAAAAGCCTTTCCCTGTCTACTCTCAGCCCAAGGTAAGGATGATGGAAAAACACCACATGCCTTTCCATGTTCACGTGACTCAAGTCACCTGTCACAGCTGCTCCTGTAAGTGTACACACACACGTGCACACACACACGCGCGTGGCCCGTGTGTACATACCTAAAATACTACACGACAGCCGCCTCCAGCTCAGGGAAATGGGCCCAGGCTTAAACCCACCGGGAACACTGTGCCTTTTAGTGCTGAGCTGTCACTAGTTGTAGCAGGACCGGGCCTCCCAGGACGGTGGAGCAGCACTCAGGGGCGTGGAGATGGAGACCGGCGCCTTCTGGACGGGGACCAGGTTGGGCACTCCGAGGGCTTTAATCGCCTCTGCCCCATGCGGGCTGTCGGTCACACTGCAGGCGGGGCCCGCACGCCCCGTCCTTGCAGCTGTAGGCGGACACACACGGGGCACCTCGTTCTGCTGCCGGTTTCCCAGCGTCTGCTCACTTCTTGTCTGTGTCACATGTAATTCTTGCCACTTTTCAAACTTTTCCATGATTAGATGCCGTAACCAGTGATGTTTGTTGTCATTATGACTCACTGAAGGCTCAGATGGTGGTTAGCACTTTTTAGCAATCAAGTATTTTTAATTAAAGCATGTACATTTTTTAGACATAATGCTGTTGCACCCTTGACAGGCACAGTATGGTGCAAACATACTTATTTATACACATTAGACTCCAGAATGCTCACGTAACTCACTGTTGACATCGAGGTACCGTGGTGGTCTGGAACCAAACCTGCACCATCTCCCGAGTACGCCTGTGCATAAAATGAATTCACACCGCTCGACGTCGAGTTCCCTTGTTAGTAATACTAACTCAGCCAAATCCTGCTGTACCTTCTGCTTTTGTCTGTAATTTACACCAACAGCAAACGCACACAGCAAGATCTCTGTAATAGTCCCTGTGAGTAAACATTCAGTCAACAAACCTTCAAGGTTTCCATACCTCATGTCTCCAAGACTTTGAGATCTAAAGTTAGGGACCTCACAGCACCATTTTGTTTTTCCTCACAGGAGTTTACGAGTTTGTGCCTTTGGAACAAGGTGATGGATTTCGGTTGCAGATAAACGCTCAGAACTGTGTGCACTGCAAAACATGTGACATTAAAGACCCGAGTCAGAACATTAACTGGGTGGTACCCGAAGGGGGCGGAGGCCCCGCCTACAACGGAATGTGAGGTGCACCTGCTTGCCCGGTGCGTCTGACGGCCAGTCTCTCTGAAGTAGGAGGCACGCTAACTTCAGGTTACCTTACGGAGTATTACTGCTCAGAATGTTCATAAAATAATTATCAGGGAAATAACTATATTATATGTAAAATTGTCCCATAAAAAAAATCATGAATATTTCTCTTAAATAAAACTTTGTAAATTATGTAGCATCTGTTTACCTCTCCAATTCTTCCAAGATTCAGTACCAACAGCAGAATACACTGTCGGCCTTTCATGTACATCTGACTTGTCAAATCCATGACTTCAAAGGTAAAACAAGTGTACACTCCAGAGCAGGCCACCACGCTGCTTACGAGTGGTCCTCCTGGATGCAGCGACACACGTCCGCGGCTGCCAAGCTACCAGCACGGGACCAAGGAGCCACGATAGACTATCTACCCCTCAGGGAGGCTGCTGACCCCCAACCATGTGTGTCTGTCACCTGTATATATAAAACACCAGGACAAACCAACCAGAGAGGCCTCCAAGAACTGAGAAAAACAATACACACACTCAAACTTCCATCTCTTTATTCAGAGAAGATACGTCTCCAGGGGTTTAAAGAGGCTGGACACCGTTATTCCGTGTGAATAATGCAGACAGCCACTTTTAAAAACATCAACTTCCCTGTACGTGTAACACTTTTAAGAGTGAGTCCCTGTGGGTGTTCCCAGGCTGTACACAGTGGGGCCAACGTAGTGAAGGGAACACAGATCAGGCGCACGGAACACACAAAACCCTTTGCACAACCAGCGTGTAGTTAAGCAAAGCCGGGTTCCTTACTAAGCAAACATTTTTGCATAAGCTGCCTTCTCTTTGTCTTTCTGTGCCTTTATCTTTTGTTTGACTTTCAGCAGTTCTGCCTGGATAGCTGCAAAATAAATATGTAATATGAGTTATTCTCCAAACATCCAATAATTAGGGTGACAGTTACTCCCCCTCATAAACTCCTTCTAAAGTGGAACTGAGCCCTGGTAACAGAGTATTTTACTCTGCAAAAGCGATCACACAAACCATGAAGTGTTCTAGAAGACTGTCAACCAAGAGACTAATGAAGTCCGCCTTCTCCGTCTCCACAAGGGAGGACACCAAGTGTGGCCCTTGCTTCACTTCAGCAGTGAGACCAAGATGTATTCTAACATCCAGATCTAGTATCGCTATTTGTAGTTGGTTTATTTGAAAAACAAGCAAGTCAGACCATTAACTGCGTGGTGCCCGAAGCTTTCCAAGACGCTCCTACAACACACCCAGTGGCTGAAGTATTTAAGCTACGGCCGTGTGCAGCTTAAGGAATGCTGCCAAACATTAAATACTGTGTTTTCTAATGCCGCTCTTCATCCAGAATGACAGACTAGGAACCAGTCGCCAAGCGATACAGTAGAGTGAACTGTTCAGACACGTGAACATGAGTTTTCTGGGAGGGACCAGGGTGTGAGCTCTGAAGGCGGGGCCCCTGATGGGCTCAGGGCAGCGTTTCGAGGCCCGGCCGGTAGCAGGCGTCCGTGACACCTGCTCAACAAGCACCTACGCGCAAGGGGCCAGTGGGTCGTGAGGATGGGTTATTAAAGGACAACAGACTTTCACTACAGAAACTGCCCCCTTACCTTTATCTTCCGGTGCAATCTCCTGAGCCTTCTTAAGATCAGCCTGTAATTGAAAAAACATTAAAAGAAATAAAAGATGATGATTCATGACAGTGGTATTTTTGGTTTGTTTTTTTTTAATTAAAATTGAGGACAACATTTTACCAATGCTTCATCGTAGTCTTTTAATCCTTGCCATCCCTGGGCCCTCCGGTACAGGGCTTTGGTGTTTGATGGGTCTATTTCAAGTGCCTACAAAAAATTAGAAAATTAGTGTTTTTATCCAAATACTGAGTACTCGGCAGGTACACTATAGATTTCAGTTTACTGCCTGTCAGCTCCAAACCGACTCCACCGCTCTGGGGCCACGGAGCCAGTGGGTGGGTGTGAGGTTCTGTGGGGCGCGGGCAGGCGCGGCATGGATGTGGAGGAGGAGCCCCTCCCCCCGAGGCCCGCTGCCCCCTCCCCGGGCTCCTACTGCCCAGCCCGCGGCACAGCAGCTCCAGCCCGCAGGCGTGGTGCCCGGGGAACTCTGCCACCCAGCGAGGCACAACTGTCCCTCCAGCCCCACACCAGTGGGGAGCGTGCTCTGCTCCTGTACCGCACGTGTCTGCACAAATACAAACACACACATACACACAGAGCACCAGAGGTGGGCTTTCAGAAATACATTCTGTAGTTTGAAAACTGTTTCCAACTCCACAACAGGGAGGCGTTCACTGGTGCTCTATTTAAGGACAGAACTGCTGCCACCTTTGCAGCCGTGTCAGCCAGTGTTCCTGGATGTCCCCACGAAGACAGGTGACCTTCCTGTGTGTTGCCTTTTAACTAAAAATACCTAAATCTCTATGAGGCCCTTATCACGTGCCCTGCACCGTGCTAAACGCTTTACGTACGTCACACAGTCTTCACAGCAGCCCCAGCAGTGTCTCCACTCGCATACAAAGAAATCACAACTCTCTAAAATTAGGAAGTCTCTCAAGATCAGAAAGTAAGTGACAATGGTGTCTGAAAAAAACATGTCTGGAAAAAAAAAAAGAATCTAGAAAACTAAAAAAAAACAAAAAACAAAAAAACAAAACCACCACGTCCACTGACTGACTCCATAAGCCACCTTCTTAATCGTTCCTGGTTTTGCCTCCTAAGCCCGGCACCGAACAGGGGCTCAACCGTTAAATGAATAAATGAGCTGATACGTGTGCTTTGAGGGAAAAAGTGCCTGCAGAGCAGTTAGGTGGTACAGTGTCATATGCTAAATGAATGGCTTGACAGGAAGAGCTGAAGGTACAAAACATTTAGGGATAAAATGTTTTATGTTCTTCGAGTCTCATTAGGGCCTATGCAGTAAGACACACATGCTAATATCACATAAACTGCTTTCAGCTCAAAATAAGTCACAATCCAACTCTCAAAAAGCTGACGTCAACAGACTTACCTCCAGACAACTGTCGACTGCGCCCTGCCAGTCGGACATCTTCAGTTTACAGGCGCCGATGTTCAGCACGCAGCTTAAAGCCACGGGCTGCAGCTTGGCTGCGTCGGCCTCCTGGGTGACAGCCTTGGACGCTTCCACGTACCTGGAGGACACGGGAGCAAAAGCAGCGTGAAGCCACCGCCATGACTCACTCTGCTGCTTCCACGAGGCCACAGCTGCCGCCTCACTTCTGCACAAAAGCTCACCAGACGCTAACATTCTCCATGCCAACAATCCTTTTATTAAATACTTTCCTTTAGATTTGTTTTCTTTGTTCCAACTTCCTTTCCCAGAGTGTTCAAAGAGGCCGATTTAAGACCAACCCCCAAACCTAAAGATTATACGCTAACACTTTTCTCTTTTAAAATTCAGGTCTCCACTGTCCACTCTGCAATGTAATCAGGACTGGAGCCGAGATGCTCACTGTGGGAGGGAGCGGACGGGAGAAGTCGTGTTGATCCTGAATGTATTTTAATGTAGTTCCCAACTCTGTTTACTGAGAAGAGCCCTGAACCAGTGAGCACACCTGGCCCCAGACTTTGCTCTCTAGAGTTTACACCCCAGTAAAAGCAATCAGGGCTCCCTGGAGAAAGTAGATCTAGAAACAAGGTTAAGTGTAAGATGAGCCTAGAATGCCTCATGCCAGAAAGCAAGCGCGTGCTCACAGACGAACAGGAACACATCAAAAGGATACGGGAGAGGGGGCGTCCCCTGGACAAACGTGGGACCCTCTGAGCATCAGAAAGAATGACGGTAGTAGTATAATACGTTCAGCTAAAGAAAACCACACGTCTGTAAAAGATACCCCAAAAAGGGCGGAGGGGGCCTTTCAAACAGAAGAATGCCAGCTAGTAACTGAAGGCTAAAACTAGAAAATCACAGTTCTCCAAGCTTCAGTGTAACACCGGATTCAGCAAAGACCTTCAGCGATGCTGAAACCACCTGATGGAAGATCAGGAACCAGGCATTCACACAATCGCACAGGACCACCTCACAGAGGAGTTACTATTTACAAAAGGGAAGGTGCTTTTATAAGAGACATCCGGCTAACGCCCTTTAACCAAGTGCCAGAACTCAGAACAGGCCAGACTGCCGTGTGCCTCCAGGATGTGATATCACAGGAAATGTGCGTCCCGTTTGAGTCCTCGTGCTGAAACATTCAACCCCTAACTGAACCTGAGGAAGCAATAAACAAACGCAGACAGAATTCTATGAGGCCACTGACTTGGACGCCACAAAATGCAAATGACTGAAAACCATGTAGAGTACGGACCATTAAAAAGTTAGAAAGCTAGAGACATAAAAACCAACTGATACAATGGATTCTGGAGTTAAAAACACCACCACCACCTGGGGACATCTGAATACGGATTATGTACGAGACAATATTGTATCAATGATATTTCCAAGATGTTTTAATGCTGTTAAGGCTAAGTAGAAGAATGTCCTTGTTTCCTATGAAACATTTGCTAAAACATTAGGGAATAAAGTGTCACAGAATCTGCAACTTCCTTTCAAATGATTCTGAAAAAACAAATAGAGCAAAAGTTAAAAATTGGTGAAAGCAGGTAAAGGTACGTGAGTGTTCATGTACTGCTCTTTTTTTTTTTAATGGAGGGACTGGGGATTGAACCCAGGACATCGTCCTGCTAAGCATGTGCTCTACCACTGAGCTACACCTTCCTCACTCATGTACTATTCTTAACTTTTCTGTATTTTGAAATTTTTCAATATAAGAATCTGGAGGCAACTGAAGAAATGTAACTATTTCAATACACCGGGTTACTCTGCAAGTAATATGCCAAAAATACAAAACAAACAAGCAAAAAAAAACTCCTGAATTTCAGTTTAAAATTCAATTTACAAGTTCTTAAAAGCAATTTGTAAAAAATATTTTATTACCTTAAAACTTTTGTGTACTTTTTAATAGCCATCTCCCAGTTCTGGGATTTGAAAAAAGTATTTCCAATGTTCTTTAAGTCTTCTGTTATCAATAAAATTTTATCTACCTGTATAAAACAAAGAACACAAATATGCTGGGTTTGAATGTGTAATGTGCTTTAATGCTAAGTTTTGTCAGTAAGACAGATTGATATAAAAAATTCAAAATTTTAGTACTAAATACTTTTAGCAATTTAAGTAACTGAAGTTTATATGAAAGTACTCACGTCTTTTAAATTGATGTCCGCATCCTCAGGGAAATCCGGATGACTGTCACTAGAACCGTCTTTTGGGAATATTCCCCAGTCATCCCCGTCCTTCAACTCCCCGCATTCTGCAATAACGCACAACTGTAAAAATAACCCTCAGTTGTAAAAGTGCATCACCACATTAACGGTGATTACAAGAAAGCTCTGGGTTTAAAAGCTCTCCGCTGCAAGGCACCAACACCGTCCGAGTCGCTCCTGAAGTGACAGGCTGACCCTAGGAGGCTCAGCTGCTCCAAGTGTAATAATGCCCTTTACACGCCTTCCAAGTAGCAGCACAGTGCGAGGGCACAAAGCGTCCTACTGCTACGCGACGGCGCAGGGCGCAGGGCAAGCTGGACATTTTATCATCCTCTGTGGAATCTCCTTCCGGTGGGGCACGTGCTTTCAGCTGACTCCTGTTTCCCTCGTACTCAAGGCAGCCTCCCACCCGTAGGTATTCGAGTCTCCAATTCCCCTCCCTCATGGCCAGTGAGGTCGAGAAGGATGGCCGTTGTGACCCCCAGACATTCAGAACACCAGGACCTCCAGGGTTACATGGTCCGGTCTAAACCCACAGGAAATTTATACAGGGCGAGGAAATAGGCCAAGAAGTTACATAACATGATCAAGGCTAACACCACAAGTTAAACGGCAGAGAGGAGACCAGGAGCCCTGCTTTCCTGTGCTCTGCGCTCTGTGCCAGCACAGACAGGCACCACACTGTGCAGACACAGGAGACTGCACTACCAAAAATCACCAAGACTGAAGCTGAAATAATACGAATCTCCTTCTGAACTGCCCTCATCTCTCCCGCTGTGGAGAACAGCTTCGAAGAAGTGGCAGGTCCAGGCTTCCACGCAAGTCACCCCAACGGGTTTCAGTCAACAATCGCTGACCCCCTCACTTACTAAGACAACGAGGGGCCGCCCCGGGACTCATTACTCACTTTGGCAGGTTTTTCCCCTTTCACTTCCACATTTTCCAGAATCCTCGCCACACCCATTCCTTTAATGACTTGGCCAAACACCACGTGTTTCCCATCCAAGTGAGGCGTTGGGACGGTCGTGATGAAGAACTGGGACCCATTGGTGTTGCAGCCGGCGTTTGCCATGCTCAGCAGGCCCTCCTTATCGTGCTGCAGAGATAAAAGCATTGAGAGCCCGGTCAGGGTAAGCCTGAACCATTCCTTACTGACCACTCACATCCAACTGCGAGACCAAACCACGGGTGTAATCTGACTTGCATAAAGTGCAACCTTTAGTTCAGAAAACAAGGGTACTTTCATCACTTCCTAAACTTTAAGGAAAGCTTATGAAATCAAATTAGACAAGAGACACAACAGTGGGGGCAGGGCTGGTCCCTGTAAACTGGCCACACTGAGAAAACGCTTGCACTCCATATTTAAGATGAAGGTGCTGCCTTGTGGAAATTTAGAGTTTTTTTTATGACAGTGCTCTTTCTTCAGAAAAGCACTGGACAGTGTTCTCACTTTAAGGCCTGCATGCATCATGACTCTTCCTTTACACATCAGTAACCTGGGAACACTGAGGACACGCGGGATGCACAGGACCTTCACAGTGACCTTCCTAACCTCCAAGGAAGCCAAGGATTACGGCTTTCATCCCAGGGGAGCACTGCTTCAGAGACGGCCCTGGAGGAGCCACCACAGACACCCTGAACCAGGTCCCACTGCACACCCACCTGTCCACAGGTTCTGTGAGACCCGGGTTCCTCCTCTCCCCACCTCACCCTTGGGCTTCCTGAACGTGTTCCGTTTTGGGCCACGCATGACCACTCACGTCAGCCTCCCAGAGAAACGCCCGCACCCCATGCCTGCATCTCCTACGGTTTCCGAGGCCGAGTCTGCAAGAAGCGCCTGTCCTTCCAGGCCCCTTTCTTTTGATCAATGTGTTCATCACCTGATCTTACTCTCATCCCTCTGGTAGCTTCCCTTTTTCCTCCCCAAAAATCTGGGGCTTTCCGCACAATATTAATTATTTCCTCAGCCTCCTCATGCCTGTGTCTTCCCTCAGTTACCTCCCTCCCTCCACTGGCACCTACACTCCACCCTCCATCCAACCAAACCTCAGCCTCCCCACAGGGCCTGGTGTGCCAGCCTAGGTACCCCTTCCTCCTCCTTCTCATCTTCTCACACCATTTGGGCCGCATCAGTCACACCTTTCTCCCAGAGCAGACACAAAAAGTCTCAATCACTTATTCCCCAGTTGTCCGTGTGTTTTAATCTTGTCTTTCTGCCAGGATTTTAAGCTCCTTACCGTGAAGACTTTTCATTCTCATAAACCCTTTGGCGCCCATGACAGCACTAAGCACGTACAGCTGCAGTCAATAAGTACTTTTAAAAGACTGACGACATTTTGTCAAATTAACCCAACTACCTTGCTCACATTCCTCACTTCCAAAGATCTCCCTTTCTGTACTTAACACGTCCATTCTTACAACCTGACTGACGCCACGTACCCTGACGGGGACGTCTTGGGACAATGACGATGAGAAGGCACAGGCACCACTAATGTCTTCAGGAGCCTGGACACCAACCAGATGCGCCAGTTCCCAAGCCCGACAGCCTGGACATTAGCGATGGTGAGGCTGCTCTTCAAATTTAACCACAAAGATGCTCAAGTTACCTTCCTTCCGATGAGAACACTTCTCCTGGAGACAAGTTTGTCACGTGGTGGCCACCAGTAAAAAACTCACTGGCCCTACTGAAGTACATAAACCTGGATCACAATGAAATAACTGTGTTCTTGCCAAATAAAGTCACTCCTGGATAAAATTTTTTCATATTAAAGATGCATATTTACAAATATGATACCTTTCACAAGACAAGGAGAATCAAAGCACACCTGAGGCACTTACCCCAATCCAACAACTCTCCCACACACACAACCTTTATTATCAGCAATAAACATGCATTTTTGTCAACTTTACCTTATAATGGAAATTTTCATCTTCAAATTTTTCACCATAAATACTTTCTCCACCTGTCCCATTCTGATTTGAGAAGTCGCCACCCTGAATCATAAATTTCTTAATAACTACAAAAGAGGAAAACAGCTATTAGAAACTACAAAATGAATGACCTCAGCAACGTTGAATAACAAGTATGTAACAATGATGAAGGCTTCCTAAAACGTGTCTCTAGTCTTGTCACTCCCGTCTCTCCCCACCCGTCCCAACAGCTCCAAACTCTCAAAACGCTTCTCCCAGTGAGTTCCAACCAGTTACTGCCTGATGCCCCTAACACTCACAGTGTGAGTTCATACGGCACCTCCCCTATGAAACTGTCAGAGACCCCAAAATCAGATCTCGTAATTTCTTGATTCTACCTCCATTTCATAATACGCATCAGAGCGATCTGTCTCTTTCAGCAAATGATTAGCTCCTTAAGTAACCACATGTGTGGCTGGGCACACGCTGGTTACTCAATGATGCCTCCTGAACAAGCCCACCACCCCCTGGAGATGTTACACTGCGATGGAAGCGCTTAGACCAAAGGCTCCCAAGAACACTGCCGCCACCACCACGTTCAGAGATTGCCTAGGACTCCCGGGTCTCAGGAACTGTCAGTGCTTTAGCAAGGCAGTGAAGAGACACGGCTGGATGGTAAAGGGAAGATACAGGCAGAGCCTGGAGGAGTTCCTGAGTTCCCTTATGCTCCCCCGGCCCCAAAAGGTCACAGGGCACATTCTTCCCCCAGCACAGAAAATGCACCATGTACAATGTACAATGTTTCTGCCCAGAAAGCCCTTTAGAGACTTAGCATTTCTTAGCAATAAAGTATTTTTAAATTAAGGTGCATACATTTTTTAAGACATAATGCTGTTGCACACAACTGACTAAAGGACAGTGTAAACGTAATTTTTTGTACACACTGGGAAACTAAAAATTTGTGTGACTCCTTTACGGCAATATTCACTTTACTGCGGTGGTCTGGAACCAAACCTGCAGGATTTCTGTGGTATGCCTATATTTTGATATTTTATTAAACACTAAAGTAAATCAACAGTTTAAATATTTTAAAATCAATGTTATTTTTTCTTAATCAAGTTTTTTTAAATTAACTACTCATATATATATAAACATGTATTTTAATTTATTTGTTTATTCATTAAATACTCATTGAGCACCTACTCAGCAACTATACTCCATGCTGAGGACAAAACTGTGAGAAGATACAGTTCCTGAACTCATGGAGCCTACAGTCTGTTGCGGGAGCCATCAAATTATCACCAAAGGCAGGATGGCACAGTGTGAAGAGCAGTGTGAAAGATCACCTTTTAATCACACCAGATGTCCAATCTTAAATCAGCTGCCGTCTTCCCAAGCGATCCTGCTCAAGAAGTAGCCATAACCTTTTGACCCCAGGCAGTCAAGCTATCCAAGCTCTGTTTATCACAGCCACACCCTGGTGAAGCGAGAGCAGTCCATCTCTCTATAAATACACCTAAGCACCCTCCCCTCGGTAATTCCACCTCTCACAGCCCAGCCTTTATGAAACTGAGCTACGGTCTCAGATGTCAGAGCATCCTCTTGGAAACTAACAGTCATTTTTTAACTCTCACCCCCTACTCAGTGTTTTCTTCTGTAACTCCTACAGAACAGGATTCATTTATCGCTGGAAGAATCAGATTCAGAAAATGTACACATACTTCGATGGAAAGGGCATCCTTTGAAATGCAGAGGTTTCCCAGTGGTGGGGCCAATGCCTTTTTCTCCTGTACACAACGCACGAAAATTTTCTGCAGTTTTGGGTACAATATCTGCAAACAATTCTAAGACAATTCGACCAACTGAAAAAAAAAATGAAATTGCATTAGTATACAAAACAACCAAATAGGCAAATGATAAAAGGAGAGTTGGTAAAATTATGGTGACAGAAATATCAAGTTCTCTTTTTTGGTCATTTTTCTAGTATTCAAATTTGGTTTGCCTCACATTAAGCACCACCTATCTAGATGAATTGTAGCAATTATCTTACTACAAAGGATCGTAAGTACAGTACCCATAAGATTAACCCCATATAAGGACACCGCTTAACTACAAATGGCTTTGAGTAATTTCTCCGACATGTGCTCACAACTTACAATCACGAAGTAACCAACAGGAGAAAATGAATATCCTTTGGGTGGTCAGGCTGGCCAAGTTTCAGGTATAACTATAGCCTCTGTGCTCTGTGGAATCTGCCTAGTGCTGTCCCTGAAGCAAAAGCTGAAAAAGTTTCCCTTCTAGCTAGACTAACTCCTAAAGCAGCTAGAAATAAACTCAGCATTAAATTTCAAAACGAACTAAATGTACACATAAGTCTGTGTGCGTGTGTGTGTCCATAACCACCCCCGGGTCCCTGAATCCGGGTGTGTCCGTCTGCACACGCACTCACTCTGCCTGGCCGGCAATTACAACGTGTTGCAGAACCGGGGCACTCGGCGGCAAAGCAATGCGCTGATTCACGAGACCTCGGGAGCTTCGGGGCCGCTGCGGTAGCCTAGGCAACCAGCCTGCCACACTGCTCTCACTCTCCCCAACGCCAAAACTGAGAACGCTCCCAGTATGACTGCGCCTCTCAGTTAAGAATTACTAATAAGAAAAAATAATAATAAGCAAAGGTTGCTTTAGTTTATAAGTAACATGGCAAATGCAGATATACGGCGCGTGGCAAATCAGCGCGTGAAGGGAGCCCACCAGACGCATAACCTGGGGTTTTTCCGAACATCCCCTGAACACAAAGTCCTCTGATTTCATGCCCATGTGACGGTGCTGGGCTGCGGGGAGATGCGAGCAAATAAGGAGACAAACCCAAAGGCCGCCACCATCCCCGGACAGAAATTTCCAGAAACTTGTGCGCACCCGGCGGCACTGGTTCAAGAGCGCAGGCTCGAGCCTGCCGCGGACGCCTGGAGTGTTCCAGAATCCGGCGTGGGTAGCCGTCCCCGCGCCTCAGGGCTGACCCCGGCCCGAGCCGCACCCCGGCCTCGGGGGACCCGACCCTTCCCGGGGCGCCCCCGCCTCCTCACCTCGCTCCCCTCCGACGTCCACGTCCAAGAAGACGCGGGGGTTACTGGGGTTGGAGGGCTTGGCCTGGGGGGAAGGGTGCGACATTGTGACCTGCAAAAGCGCTTGAGAGCGGCTCGCACCACCGCGTGGCCGCCGGGCAGCTTGAACCCCAGGAAAACCCGCTCCGCAGAGAAAGGCGGCGCTGACGAGCCGCTTCCGGCGCGGGGTCCTGGAGCTGCGGCTCGAGTTCCGGCGCCGCCGCCCGACTTCCGGCGCCGCCACCCGACTTCCGGCGC